CTGTAATATAACATGCTATATATATGACCGCTACAATAATTATGATAGGCTCATCATTTATTAAATCACTCCTGCCTCTCGAAAAGTATTCTAAGGATATTTCTCAAATAGCCCCAAAGGTGCTTCAAATACATTCAACAAGATTTTCTCTCAGCATTTTCTCCTGAATGAAACATATAATAGTCATAATGCTCAATAATATAATTATCGACATATTATTTATTGCCCTTTCTTTGTCATTGATTTTTTTAAATATTTAAATTATTTCTAATCAAAATTTCTATTCCATTTTTCTCAAAAACATATTTTCTAAAAAAACAAATTAAGGAACACAGGAAATAATTAGCAATTTTGTTAAATAAACACCATTCAAACTATCAAATTAAAAGAGAAAAATCCTCTGAAAAAGAATGATTCTGTCTTCTAAAGAAAATTTATCAGATGAGAAAGCAAAAAAGCTGTTCCTGTATCAGAAAAAAAAAGTCTGTAGATTCTATTCTTTTTCCTCAGTCCTTGACAAATTGAATCAATGTAATCTGCCTCCTAGCAGTTCTATGCTCGTCTACCTTCCCTCTTCCACCACAGGAATGTTAGCAGTAGCTATTTCACCATTTTTCACACAAGGGTGACCTGCAAAATAATGAAGCAAAAATTGAACAGTATATACCAACGAACAGTAATCTGTTTATTTGAAAGATGAAGCTTATAGAGTCACTGAAAAATGATCCAGCCAACGTGGAATTGATTGAATCAGAAACAGTGGTGATACAGATCAGGTAATAATTTTTATTTGAAAGAATAAGCAAGACTATAAGAGCATAGCTATTAGAGCTGGTAAGAGTGAAGTCCAAGCAAACTGCTTGGACAGCATTTCAACTGCTATTTTTACAATCATTGCGTTGCTTACATTTGATTACAACTTTTTCTACAGTTTTTTTATAATATTTCAATGTGTGAAGGCGTTTTTTCAATACACCAAATATTACCAAAAGAGGTATAGTTATAAGAAAGTTGATGTCCGAAAATTTAAATATTTAATACAGAATTTTCGGGATGTTGTGT